TTTTTTTTTTCTTTTTTTTTTTTTTTTTTAACCAGACATGTTCTTGACCTGTTTCGTGCTATTCACCCATGTGCTATAAAAAACCTGCATGTACAATTTATTTTTAACCTGTTTCCATTCCAAATCATAAGATGTTCCACACTCACGGTTCTCCTGCAGTGCTGTACTATGAACTTTATCTTGGCGTGTTTCTTGGAAACAATATGTCATTTTTCTGTTTAACCCTCTGATGCTCATCCTCATGTTGAAGGTGAGGCTAGTGCGCTCCAACCCTCCCAGTCCACAGTTCAAAGCTTCGTTTGACGCCTCGTACCAAGTGTACAAACTCTACCAGATGGCCATTCACAAGGACCCTCCTGACAAACCTACCGAGAGCCAGGTCAGGGGATCCAGTGCTAAAGGGCTTTCTCTTAGCTGTTGAGCACATTTGAGATGGCCACGCTTCTACTTTGGTCTTCAAACCAAATAATATTTTGAGGATTGTGACTTGTGATGCATGGAAATGTGAAAGAGCATTAGGTAGAAATGAAAGCATGTTCAACTGGAAGCAAAGAATCACAGTGCAGTGACTTTAATGAGCAGTGTTTTAAAACAGCAGTGAGAAGGAGGAAGCCTAAAGCAAGCAGACAGGAAATGAGGAAAGGCTGAAGCAGTAAGAAATGAAAAAATGGAGGTAAGCCATGGAAACTCTGTGAAACTGTATGAATCTAATCCTGGAAAGAGAAATTGAAAGGAAATGAGGAAAACGCTCTCATCCACACTGTGTTTCTACAGGTGTCTGTGTTAAATGAGGAGTTTGTTGCTGTTGAGATGTTTAGGTTCTTTAGCTGGTGTTTTCCTTCCACTTTCCTCTTCTCAAGCCAAACTAGGAAATGGAAATTTCAGTCAAACATCATCTTGTAGGTAGTGCACCTTCACTGGATGTTGATTATGATACGCTCCTGTAATTTTCATGAAGCCTCAGTTTTTTTAAACACAACTGTATTTGAAATTCTTGTTTTTATTACTGTGTGGTATTTTACCACTGTTGGAGGCCACAAAAGGATGAACGGAATAAATGGGAATGAGATTCAATGTTTGAGAGCTTGAACGTTCGTGCCTCACATAAGCACCACAGCTTAACGTGTCAAAGCAATTGCGCTAACAGCTCTGAATGTTCTGCAGTTTGCAGTTCTTTTTGAAGTTTTTGAAAGCTCTGCATGGGACGTTTTGTTGTGAGTTGGTCTGAATTGGTGTTGTACTTCAGACTTTGGCTTTTCAAAATTTCTGTTCTTTCTGCCCTGGCTTCATGACAGTTCCAAGTTATTGAATTGTTTGAGAATGCTTTGGGTGTGTGTGTGTACTGTGTATACATTGAAGGATGCCATGTTATTGATGCCCTGCTGCTTATTTTTTGCCTGAAATGTGCTGATTTTTTTTAGGCTAGACCTATTGAAAAAGATAGACCAAGCTTAGAATTGGTGGTTTTCCTTTCCTTTCCTTTATTTATTTATTTATTTATTTTTTAAAAATCAGTTAAGGGACCAGTGCTTATCCCACTGCCCCAATAACACAGTGTGAACTGTAATTCATCAGGTTCATTGATGGTCTGTATTGTTGTAAGCCATGTGATTTTAGCCTGAATCAGAGCTTCACAGCCCCGGTGCACCAGCCTCACCTTCAGCCTCCTGTTTCCCAACATTTACCCTCCAACTCTGAGTTTAAATCCATGCTACACATTCCCTTCCCTGTCTTACTCAACACAAAAACAAGTTACTCTGTATAATCTGTATATCTTATGTGCTTCAATGTCCTTTAGGTGCATCAGAACATTGTAATGTAAACAGTATAACACAGTATGTTTAGAAATCTGGAGCAAAAGAAGAATACTCTGTTTGAAATTTCCAAACTGTATGCCATATCACATTTATGCATTAATGACTTCCAATGTTAGCCTAATTAGACTGATAGTTTATAAGATCACTAATATTAACCATTATTGGTATGGTGACAGACATATTGTGCATCCCTACAGAAAAAAAAAACTTCTTTAAATAGTTTGAAGCAATTGTGTAATGCTAAATTAGCAAAGTAAAAGTGTAAGACAGCTTGGGAATGCAATTACATTTTAGTTTTGGGTTCATATTTACTCTTAGGCTGTCTTTGTTTCAGAAGATGCTATAGTGATTCTAAGAATCTTAATGCAATCTTTATTTGTTTTCCACATTGAATCGGACATGTTTAATTCCATTCTGAACCACTTTCACATGCAAAAGTGACTATGTAAACAGTCAGAATTCATATGATTAATTGGCTAGTTGCTTACTTAAGCTTGAATTATTTATTCAGTTAAACTGTGAAATTTGTGAAGCATATAAGTAAGCATTGCCTGTTCAGACCAGTGTCACATTTAAAAGGTCATGTGAACAGAACTTCGGCTTGCAGTGTGAATATGAACCCAAAAACACTGCATATGTGATGTGTATACAGTGCTGTTTAAATCATTTCATTGCTATTTTTGTATTAACCACTCCCCTTATCCACACATTCTTGTCCGTTTTTCCTTCGTTCTCCCCATCCTCCATTGTTTATGTCCCTTCATTTATTTCCCATTATTCTTTTTTGATTTCCTACTATCCTTCCGTCTTTCTTATTCAATCGTACTTCCTCCCTCTAATCATCCCTTCATCACTCTGAAGGTGAGGCTAGTGCCGGTCAGCTTTGAGGACCCGGACTTCCTGGCGTCGTATGAGCAGTCAGCGGCGCTGTATGCACGCTACCAGATGAGCGTTCACGGCGACGCTGCGTACGAGTGCGGGGAGAGCGAGGTACAGACTTAAACATGTCACATTCACAACTGCATGAAACACCCAACCGATTGACCTGAAGCCCTGCTCACTAACATTACATATGTTTTCCAGCATGTTTGAGGCATTTACATATATTTCTCATGTACACATTAGCTTTTTACTAGACCTACACACAATCTGTGCCTGCGAAACGCTGACCGAACTTCTGCTCATCCTCTGCCCTGTGTGTGTGATCATTTGGTTTTAGGTAGGAACAAACTCCTAACTTCTAAGTATGAAACTTAACAACCACCCAGAAGACCCGAGCAATGTCCTGGCGTCCACCCATGCCCTATAACCCACATAGCAGTGGCAGAGAATTTTTGCATGGGCGAGCATGTAAAAGTGACATTTTGATCAAGTTTTTAAATGCATGTTGCTGACATACAAGATTTTACTTTTTTAAAAAAAAATTTTTTACGCTCAATAAGAGTGCAGATTTCTGAATTTGTATTTGAATCTAATCAATGGATTTTCCCACACTGTAAAAATGTTTTTTATAAAATAACAAACTATATAAAATTATTATTTTTTAAATGATTTAAATTTATGAAATAGTAATATTAAATAAAATATATAATATTGACATAATATAAGTTGTAATAGTACTATAAATTATAATACAATATATAATATAATAGTAAATAAAACTAAAATGATATTTCATTCTTTCTTCTAAATGTTGCATTTAATTCAATGTGTTGCTTGCTATTTCTTTGTAATTATTTGTGAAGTTTGCTAGCAATTTCTGAGTGAAAATGGTTTCAGATAAACACTTTTTTTAGTGCATTAAGTGCACAGATTCAGCATGGCTCTATGTATCCTGTACTGTGCTTCTGTCTGAATGCACTGATTTTATAATGAATCTGCCAAAACTCTAGTGTTTAAATGAAGATGTTGAAGAATATCCTGTGGTGAAGAGCTAAATCAGAAGCTTGATATTTATATAGATTCCTCAAAGAGCATTGCGCGTCACAGCAGGAGCTTTATTATACGTTTGTGGGAATGAATCTAAATGTGAAATGAAGATTGTTTTTGACTGAGCAGATTTTGGCCCATATATATTTCATGTTGCACAATTCAAACTGCATCTGTCCGACGTTCATTGACTTTATTAATATCCCCCTTTGATGAGTTCACAACAGTTGTACAGTAGTAGAAATGAATGACAGCAGTGAGCTGCAAGATCCCATAACATTTCATTACCCATGCAGGTTTAAATGTTTAACCTGTAACATTATGTCTATCTATATTCATTTGTGTCTGTTGCGGAATGAAACGCTGCTGTAATAATTATATAGTACACGCAGAACTGTTTTACAGCGGCCTCCATTTGAAGACACATGAGCAATTGTCTGGACTGGCCAATAATTCACCTGTGTTTTGGTAGAGAGTGAATTAGGGCTGGTTGGATAAAACTCTTCTACCGTGTGTTATTTCAGTCTTGGGCTGGGCCGGGCCTCGCGCACACGCCCTGCTCTGTGAAACACGGCCATAACTCAATTATGTGTCATAAAAGAAGCAACATTCGCAGTCTGGGAGCTTGTGGGGAAACTACATTATTAAAACCCTGTCGGGAGGCCAAGAGAAATCAAATTTTATATAAAGAGTTACAATGAAAAGCTACACTGAACAATGTCAAACAGAAAACAGGTCATGAATATAGTGAAATTGATGGTTTCATTTGAAATATAACTGATTTTGGAAGGTTTTTGAGTATGAAGGGAGAGTGGATTGTGGTCTTGGGTACAGACGAGATGTTTTTTGGAGCCTAATGACACCTTAATCGTATACATTTTTAGTGCTTTGGAGCTTTTTAGTGTGTTTTAGGATCGAGCAAGCGCGAGACAAATCTAGATTTGTCTTATTGCATTCAATGAGGCTTTCAGAAGTCGGTCAGCAGGTTACTAGCTTATTGATCTGTGCTTAGTGTATGTTCTGTACATACAGTTTTTATCTTTGCAGTATAGAAAGTCTCATGCCATGTTGTTGCAATGCAATGCAACTCTACATTAAGACCTGGAACATACCCTACACTAATGTAAAGTTTGGGGGCGATTTTTAAATATCTCCAAAATGCAGCTCACCAAGGCTGCATTTAATTGATCAAAAATACAGTAAAAATTCTGAAATATTTTTACAATTGAAAAAAAAAAAACAGTTTTCTATTTGAATTTTAAAATGTAATTTATTCCTGTGCCGAAAAGCTGAGTATCATTACTCCAGTCTTGATCCTTCAGAAATCATTCGAATACATTGATTTGCTGCTTAAGAATCATTTCTTATCGATGTTGAAAACAGTTGTGCTGCTTAATATGTTTGTGAAAACTGTGAACATTTTTATTTTCAAGATTCTTTGATAGAAAGTTTAAAAGAACTGCATTTATTTGAAAGTAAATTTCTGTAACATTTAAATGTCTTTACTATTACTTTTGATCAATTGAATGCATCTTTGCGGAATAAAAGTATTAATTTCTTAAAAATTATGCAACCTGGACTTTTGAACAAGTAGTGTATCTGAATGTAAATCCATTTACTTTCTTACTGATCAGCTATCGTCATTGCGAAGCAGCAAATGCAATAGTACATGCTTCTCAATTCCTCAGTGTTTATAGCTTGTTAAAGGGGTCCTATTATGCTTTTTCACTTTTTAAACTTTAGTTAGTCTGTAATCACGTCTGATGTAATGGCACAGGCGTCAGAAGGGAACTCTATCACCCCTTTGAGACCTCAAAGTTTTTTACCGCCACAGTCTTGCGCTTGCATTGTGTTGACCGTGCATTTACGTTTGCATACTTGTCTAGAATCTGTTTCTGGTCCCAATCACCCACTCTCTGTTAGGACAGCGCATTAGTAGACAGACGCTGAGGGTGAACAGGATGTGGACCTACTTGACATTCTCAGTAACCTGAGAGAGGCCTTTGTACCCCTTAGGCCTGGAAACTGGCCCGGCTCTGCCAACAGCAAATGAATAAATCCTCATGCTCGTAAAATGTGGGAATTAATAAATAATAAGTCGTCAGAGCCGACTGTCTTCTGCCAGATTCTTTCCTGGTGCCATAACAGAGCTCTATTTATAGTGTGGAAGGTGTGCGTATGTTTGCATTAGCATTCCACTCAGATGTGAGAAATGAGTCTATATGTATAAAGTGGGGTGGGGATTTTCTTAAAGTCACTTGTCACTTCTCACCCCATTCCCTCATTCCTTCTCCTTTATTGCCCTTCTTTTATTCGCTACCTCCTCATACCCCGGATCTGACCTACTTCAGCCACTTTATTTCCCCTGTCTGTCTGAAAAACATTGATTTTGTGAATTATGTGATTTGAATTTATACTGTTCAAAAGTTTGGGGTCTGTAAAATTATTATTATTATTATTTTTTAAATCTCTTCTGCTTTCCAAGGCTGCATTTATTTGATCAAAAATACAGTAAATATTATTACTTTTAATTAGTGGTCGACCGATACTGGTTTTTTGACAGCCGATGCCGATATCTTGGAAAGCAGGGTGGCCGATGGCCGATATGAAGCCAATATAATTTTATTTATTTTAATTAATATTTAAGAAATTTGAAGTCATTTGAAATTTTGTAAAATAAACATACTTATACTTTAGAAGACAAAGCATTTTTCACAAATAAATATTTTATATTTAAATATAAATATTTAATAAAAATCACACAGAGAGGCAGGGATTTCTGCTGTTGTATTCTGATGTAGTGAGGCGTGACTGAGGTCCTACACATGTGGCACGGATTTTCAGCACAACAAATCCTGTTCAAACTCTATTTGCTCCTCCTAATGACACATTAACTAATTATACAGAGTAGCACTGGAGAGGAGAGGAGGAACACAAATCGATTCATATGCGTTTATTCTCACCAGCAGGTTTTACATAGACTAATGACCATCTTGTAAGATCTCAGACTTTCTATATTAAGTGTTAATATATGTATTTGCTGTTAAATGATGCATGACATTTTCCAAGATGAGCTGTTTCTTTTCTTAAAACTCTTTCACATGAATCTATTTTTCAGTGTAGGAGAACATTAACTAGTTAAATAAAGAATGGTGACAGATGTAGGTTGATCTAAACTGTAGATTTCATGGTCCGTTAAGGGCCGATCCCTAACGTTCACTATGTTCGTCCTAATTTCAAATTAGCAGAGCTTTAAATCCCTGCTGAGCCATTTCACTTCCGACTTTTGGTCAGAGTTCACCTTTTTGCTTTCAAGAAAGGCCATTTTGGAGCGTTTCAGAACAACACATTTCAAGAAGGGCTATGGAGCGAATGACGCTGATGAAAGAAACACGAATGCTTGTGTTTAACGATATGGGTAGTTGACAAATAACCAGTTTTTCTTTCAACATAAAGATATTCAAGGAGGAAAAAAGGGCAGAACATGACTTTTTTCCCACCAGGAATTGATTGAATGGTGAAAAGTTGGAGGGGAGATGTTGAGAAATTAGAGGGATTGGTGATGAGAAACTTGGTTTGGAGAAAGCAAGTCATTACATTTGGGTTGTTTTGTTTTGTTTGTTTGTTTTTTGTCTTTTTTCTTGTTTTTACTTGTAAAAACTTACTCTTCTTATTTATTCTTTTTTTTTCTTTTGATTTTTTCCCATTTCTTTTTTTCTTTTAATTTTTCTTTTCTTTTTTTCTTCTCATTTTAATTGTTCCAATTTTATTTATTTTTTTCCTTTCAATATTTCCTTTTTCCTTTTTTCTATTCCAGTGTTTTTTTCCTTTTCTTTTTTATTCTTTTTCTTTATTTCCTTTCTAATTTATTTTTCCATTTTATTTCTTTTTGTTCCTTTTCATTTTTCCTTTTCCATTATTTGCATTATTTTTTCATTTACTTTCTTTTCTTTTTCATTTCAGTTATTTTCTCTTTTTTTCTTTTTTTTTCCCATTTCTTTCTTTTGTGCATGAAAATTTAAATCCACATGTGAATGTGGGCATCTTGGGGTGCGTTCACACTTGTCATGTTTGGTTCGATTAAAACGAACCCTGGTGCGATTGCTCTGTTAGTGCGGTTCTTTTAAGCATGTGTGAACGCTGCCATCCGAACCCTGGTGCACACCAAACAAGCGGACTGAGACCGCTAAAAAGATGGGTCTCGGTCCTCTTCCAAACGAACTGTGGTGTGGTTCGAATGATATATGAACGCAACACGGACCAAATTCTTCTAAACGAACCAAAAACAGGAAGTAATGACAAGATGCGACGCTATGCGACATGATTTGACGACGCGGTGTAACCAAAACAAAATGAGCAGAGGGCAAACGTGGAGCAACGATGAGGTAAAGTGCCTTTTATGAGCTCCTTGTGAGTTTGCAGGTGGTGAAAATAAAATTATATGTACACGCAAGAATGAGCGCGCATAGTCCAGCAGACGGCATTAGGTGTATTCGACTTAAAGCGCTTTAAGTCAAACACACCTTTTCCTGAGTTCCGTCATAACGATAGAAAAAATGTTTGATATAGTGCAGGATATAGGCACATACTATGAGTGACGCAGACAGCACACACAAACACGAACACATGCTGAAATGAGTGCTGTGCCTGCCTGTGATGAGGAGATTGTGAATAAAAAAAGAAGAATATTAGTCGAATTTAAAATAAACATTTGCATTTGAATGGGAGCGTCATTAGTGGAGCGCGAGATGCGGTGATGATGTAAGTGACGTTGTTGCATTTTAATGTTTTATAAGTCTAGCCCACAAGACGCGCAGTTGCTGCGTTATTCATTCAAAATATTAGAGAAATATAGTAGCTCAA